AGGGCTGGGGCTCCCACAGAGAAGGCCCTCCCCCTGGGTGTCGCCAGCCGACATAACTTGGCCGATGGCACCCTGAGGAGACCCTCTCTGTGGGAGCGAACTGGCCGGTGGGAGGCTATTGGTGGCAGAAGTCGGTCTCGAAGGTACCCGGGTCCTATGCCATGGTCGACTAAACTTCGAATGGTCACTAAATGAATGATTGTAAATTGAGGATTACCTCTGGTGCATCCATCCTTGTACTCCTTGACCTTTTGGTGGCTTTCGATACCATCAACCCAGTGGTGAAATCCAATTTTTTTTACTACTGGTTTTGTGGGCGTGGTGTGGCTTGGTGGGCGTGGTGTGGCTTGGTGGGCGTGGCAGGGGAAGGATATTGCAAAATCTCCATTCCCACCCCACTCTGGGGCCAGCCAGAGGTGGCATTTGCTGGTTCTCCGAACTACTCAAAATTTCCGCTACCAGTTCTCCAGAACCTATCAGAACCTGCTGGATTTCACCCCTGCATCAACCATAGTATCCTTATGGACCAGTGATGTGATTTGGGACTGGGCAGGGCAGTGTTGCACTGTGAAGGGAATAGAACATAGGGGTTTCTTCAAGATGGTTCACAAGGAAGGAGGAAGGAGTCTCGCCCCACTAAATGAGCAACACTGAGGCTGCTTCAGTTAAAATAGACCAGTGGGCTCAAGCCCTCCTCTTGAGGACAGCCTCCATGAACTCCCACTCCATGCGCCTTGACTCTTGACCCTTGAACCTCAGGGCCCGGACTCTGAAACTGGACCCGCGGATGAACCTTCCACAACCTCTGACTTCGCCGATCTACTCTTCTGCGTCCTGTTTTGACATGGAACTCTTGTAAGACAGTCTTGCTAAACTTTTGGGAGGGACTTGGCCTCCTGTTCCAAGTACAGGTAGTCCTCAACTTATAACAGTTCACTTAGTGACTGTTCGAAGTTACGACGACACTTAGGGCCGTTGCAGCATCCCCATGGTCAGTCACGTGGTTTACATTCGGATGCTTGAACATTTGATTCACATGTATGGCGGCTGCAGTGTCCCGGCGTTATGTGATTCCCCTTTCGCAACCTTCCAACGAGCAAAGTCAACGGGGAAACCAGATTCGCTTAACAACCGTGTTAGTAATTTAATAACTGCAGTGATTCATTTAATGAATGTGTCAAGAAAAATCGTAAAATGGGGCAAAACCAGCGGTGAAATGCTCCCAGTTTGGACCGGATCGCTTGATCTGGTAGTGATGGCAGCGGGTGGTTCGGAGAACTGGTAGCAAAAATCCCTGCGCCCCCCCCCCATGCTCAGCTGAGCCGCACGATCATCAGAGGCTTTTTTTGTTTTAAATGCCTCTGACGATCCAAGCTGAGTTGCCTGATCGACAAAGCCCTGCCGATCAGGCAACTGAGCTTGGATCGTCAGAGGCATTTAAAAGAAAAAAAGCCTCTGCTGATCAGGCAACTCAGCTTGGATCGTCAGAGACATTTAAAAGAAAAAAAAAGCTTCTGCTGATCAGGCAACTCAGCTTGGATCGTCAGAGGCATTTAAAAGAAAAAAAGCCTCTGCTGATCAGGCAACTCAGCTTGGATCGTCAGAGGCATTTAAAAGAAAAAAAAAGCTTCTGCTGATCAGGCAACTCAGCTTGGATCGTCAGAAGCATTTAAAAGAAAAAAAGCCTCTGCTGATCAGGCAACTCAGCTTGGATCGTCAGAGGCATTTAAAAGAAAAAAAGCCTCTGCTGATCAGGCAACTCAGCTTGGATCGTCAGAGACATTTAAAAGAAAAAAAGCCTCTGTCGATCAGGCAACTCAGTTTGGATCGTCAGAGGCATTTAAAAGAAAAAAAGCCTCTGCTGATCAGGCAACTCTGCTGGGACAGTCAGAGCCTTTTGAAAGCATTTTTGTACAAGTGCTTTGAAAAAATGGTTTTAAAAGGTTTTTAAAAATGGCCACGCCCACCCAGTCTCATTTACCCCCCCCCCCAAGCCATGCACACAGAACCGGTAGTAACAAATTTTAGATTTCACCACTGCTTCAAATATATTGTCTTCGGTCGCTTTTGACCTATAATTCTAGTGAAGGCGATTCTCCCATATGGTAGAAAGACTTAGCGGGGAAAAAAAAACCCTTTCAACCATTCAGAAAGATTATGTTTGCTAGCTTTCTGGCTGAAAAGCTAGGAAACTGAGCATTTCTGAAGGATAGAGAGTGTGGAAAAAGTCAGAATGATAGCAAACATGGTTAAAAACAGGATCTAGGCTTCAGAGTGATTCTGAGAAGAGCAGCAGCTCTTGCAATGTTTGCAAATACTGGAATAGCGCATCCAGTTCTGGTCACCACCACGTAAAAAAGATGTTGAGAGTCTGGAAAGAGTGCAGAGAAGAGCAACAAAAACGATTAGGGGGATGGAGGCTAAAACATGCGAACGGTTGCAGGAATTGGGTTTGGTTAGTATAATGAAAAGAAGGACTGGGGGGATAGGATAGCACTGTTCCAATATTTGAGGGGCTTGTACAAAGAGGAAGGGGTCAAGCTATTTTCCAAAGCACCATATGGCAAGCCAAGAAATAAATGGATGGAGACTAACCAAGGAGAGGATCAACCTAGAACTAAGGAGAAATTTCCTAACTGTGAGCAATCAAGCAATGGAGTGTACTGACATGCGATCTCATGATCTGGGGTTGGGGGTGTGTGTGTGTGGCAATCACAACTTCTAAGAAATATTAGAGGAACTGGCCTGGAATGGGAGAGCGACACAAATCCTGCAGCCTCTCCTGCATTTGTGCCTTCTTACCGACAGTCATATCCAGCAACAGAAGGCAAGGATTCACACAAACATGTTCAGTAGGTGCCCTGCCGAACATGGATTGTATCCGTGTATTTCTGTGTCCATCCAGTAGCTTGTGCGTGAATCTCTTGTTTGAACAAGAGGCTCCATGTTACACTAACCAGGTTCTGAGAGCAGACAAAGTTACTCTTGCTGTGAACCCAGACAGAAAAGAGAGGATCTGAAGCAGGGGTGGGTTCTAAATTTTTTTTACTACCGGTTCTGTGGGCGTGGCTTATTTTGTGGGCGTGGCTTGGAGGTCATGTGACTAGGTGGGCGTGGCTAGCTGGTCAGAGTCATTTCTGGAAGGTCCTCGCACTTACGACCAGTCCTCGCACTTAGGACCCGACTCATTTGTTTGCTTTTAACACTGATCAGCTGTAGGACGGCCCTTTGAAGCCCCCCGGCAAGTGTTTAAATAGTTTTTTTTCCCTCTAGTCATCAGCTGGGACTCAGGAGGCAGCAATAGATTGGGGGTGGGACCAAATAAAAGGTAAGAATAACGTGGGTGGGGGGGGGGAGGGCGGGGGGGGAGAACCGGTTCGGTGAAGTCATATCGTCACCGCTACCGGCTCGGCCGAACCGGACGGAACCAGGAGGAACCCACCACTGATCTGAAGGTGAGGCTCACCCTACAGACAGATAGTGTTGCCAGGTGTCCACAATTTGAGTGGACAGTCTGCATTTTTCACATTATGTTCACTATTTTTTTCACAAAATAGTGGACATTTTTTAATTCAAAAGCTTTATGATGAAATTAAAATGTAATTTAATATTTTACATATTATTATAATATATTTGATATTTTGAATTTTAAGTAAAGTTTTGAAGTGATTATTTTAATACATGTTAAAATGTTTCTAAGAAAATATATAATTTAATTGTAAAATTATTTTTTTACTACTTACCCCCCCCCCCCCGCTTGTCCGCTATTTTTTGGAAGCAGATCTGGCAACCCTACAGACAGACAATTTCCAGAGATCACCAGCAATTGAGTCCTTGGCCTTCATCGGTAGAAACACAGAGCCATGAAAGGAAGGCAGAAGCTCCCTCCCCTTCTCGACAGCCATGGCCTTATTCTCACTCTGTACATGCTCAGTGGAAGGCTGATCAAGCAGGAGATGGTTCAAGCCCTGAAAATTAACCATTGCTACTTACTCATAGTTTGCTCAGCATGGGAAGTGTCAAATCATCCATTCTTTATCATTTGGCCATCATAATAACAACGATCATAACCTGAAGAGGAATTTATTATTTTCAGTCCAAGGATTTCCCTAGAAGAGCCACTAAGGCGCTCCCATGTAACACCACTCCTGTGCGAGCTGCACTGGCTCCCGGTGGTCTTCCGGGTGCGCTTCAAGGTATTGGTTCTCATCTTTAAAGCACTCCATGGCTTAGGGCCCGGGTATTTACGAGACCACCTTCTGCCACCGATAACCTCCCACCGGCCAATCCGCTCCCACAGAGAGGGTCTCCTCAGGGTGCCGTCGGCCAAGCAATGTTTGACTGACGACCCCCAGGGGGAGAGCCTTCTCTGTGAGGGCACCCACCCTCTGGAACGAGCTACCCCCAGGAATACGACTGATCCCGGACCTCCGTACTTTCCGTCGAACTTTGAAGACCTTCCTATTTCAGCAAGCCGGGCTGGCTTAAAATTTTAAAGGGTTATTTTATGGGCAAAGGGTTTTAAAGTTTGGGAAGCCAATTTGATTTAATTCTGTTTTAATTTATTTTAATTTTTATATTGCATGTATTTTAATCTTGGCTGTTCACCGCCCTGAGTCCTTCGGGAGAAGGGCGGTATACAAATTTAATAAACCTAACCTAACCTAAACCTAAAATTGCAGGAAAACTATCGAGTTGTGAAGCTTCCTGAAGATTCAGGTCTTTGCAGGAGAATAAAAGGAAAGAGGGGATCCATTAATGCATTGTTCTGCGTTTTGCACCGCTGACCTTTTTCCATAGAAAGATGCGTCTTCACCTTGGAGATCCCCCAAGTACTTTTAAGTGTTTTCATCCAGAGGGAAGATCATTTGGGGGTTTCTGACCTCCGCCTGATCCCACAGCCCCTCGTAGCCCTCCCCCCCCCACCTGCGCCCAGAAAACTCCCCCGCTGTTTTTGATCCCTGCAGATCTGCCCCTCCCCCCATGATATGCCCCTCCCCCCATGATGAAGAATTCCTGGAATGAGATGTTGCTGAATGTGTTGATTCTTGTGAAACTCTCGCTTCCCTTTTCCAGCTTTTCTCAGAAGTTTTCCCCCCTCCGCCTGCCTAGTAACCAGAGATGTCATGGAAACGTTTTTTCCCTATTGGTTGAGCTTGGCCAATCGCCGGCTCGCTTTGGATTATTATGCTATAGATCGTCCCGAAGCGCCTCTTTCTTTCGCCTGGGACTTTTCAGGAGAGCGCAGCTGCAGGTGGAGGTTTCAGGACAGAGGATGGCTCTGCGCTCTGCGCCCCTGTGGCTCCTGGTGTTGGTCGCTCGGCAGCACGTGTGCCTCGGTGAGTCCCTTCCAAGAGTCCCTAGAAAGAGACTCTGGAAAGAGTGCAGAGAAGAGCAACAGAGATGATTAGGGAACTGGAGGCTAAAACACATGAGGAAGAGTTGCAGGAACTCAGTATGTCTAGTTTAATGAAAAGAAGGACTAGGGGAGACATGATAGCAGTCTTCCAATATCTCAGGGGTTGCCACAAAGAAAGAGGGAGTCAAGCTATTCTCCAAAGCACCTAAGGGCAGGACAAGAAGCAATGGGTGGAAACTAATCAAGGAGAGAAGCAACTTAGAACTAAGGAGAAATTTCCTGACAGTTAGAACAATTGCCTGCAGAAGTTGTGAATTCTCCAACACTGAAAGTTTTAAAGAAGAGGTTGGATAACCATTTGTCTGAAGTGGTGTAGGGTTTTCTGCCTGGGCAGGGGGTTGGATTAGAAGACCTCCAAGGTCCCTTCCAACTCTGTTATTCTATTCTATTCTATTCTATTCTATTCTATTCTATTCTATTCTATTCTATTCTATTCCATTCCATTCCATTCCATTCCATTCCATTCCATTCCCTTTCAAGATGTAAGGGACTTACACCTTTTTCTGCTGGTGGGAATCCATCCGTCTGTCCATCCATCCGATCCGTCCATCTGTGTGCCTGCCTGCCTGCCTGTCTGCTGTCTGTCTCTCTCCCTCTTTGCTGCCGCTCTCCCCCCACCCCCGATCTCCTTGAGCCATTCTGGAAGCAGGGCAAGATGGCTCCTCCAGATGTCAGTCAAGTGTACCTGCACAATTCTTTCCGTCCCACCGTGGAGATTGTAGGATGGCAACACTCGGATGCGACCATGTCAATTCGCAAACTCCCTGGCTGCCTTTGCACCTCCCACCGTCACCACTAGGGGCAGTAGTGGGGCACTAGGGGCATTAACTACCGTTAATAAGGTATCACGTCTGGTTTGCGATATCTCCTCAGGCCAAGGGAAGGGGGATCCCTGAGAGGATCCCAGCCTTGTAAAGCACAAAGAAATATCCCTCATCCTGCTCAGAATGACAGTGATCAGGGCTAATCCACATGATCATCGATTCCCAGGATAAAGGCCTAGATCAGAGTTTCTGGAGTAGATTTGATTCTACAATGATGGGTTTCATATGTTTCCTTTCTTCATCATATTATCTCCTTTTCTCAGTGGTGCTATTATTATTTTTCTTGATCTTTGGCCTTAACAAACTTTCTTTTGAATTGGATTAGAAAAAACAAAAACACCTCATTCATAAAGTGATGGATTTTGGTGAAAGAGAGCCAGATTCTCGTTGAATGTTTTAGTAAGAGCAGCTGGACAGGACAACCACTTGTCCAGAGAGTTTTGGGGTTCCTCTTTGCTGGAGAGAGTCAAGCAGAGGCTGGACACATATATTTTTTTTGAGTATTTTTTTTTTTAAAGACAAACATTTAATACATCAATCCACCCTTCCCCGTGACATCTCGGTGTTATCTTCTAGGCTTCTTCTCCATCTTCCCTAAGTTTCTTCTTCATCTATCTTCATCTTCATCCAAACCATTCTAACATTTCATTACTAAATCAATATTGTAATCATCATTTATACATAATTATGGTATCAGTCATTTATATCTCTTCTCCAACCAACTATAAAAATAATTCCATGTTTTAAAATATTCTGATTCCTCCTTATCTTTAATCATCAGAGTTAATCTATTCATTTCTGCACAATCTAAATTTTCTTTTTATTACTTCTTCCAAAGGCATTTTCTCTGATTTCCAATTATGAGCATACACAATTCTTGCAGCTGTTATTACATGTATGATCAAATATACATTTTCCTTACTAATTTTTTCTGGAAAGATACCCCGTAGGAACAACTCTGGTTTAAATTCAATACGTTGCTGTATCATTTCTTCCAGCTAGATTTTAATCTTGTACCAGTAATTTTTTGCTAGATACATATTGAGGGGTAGAAAAAGGCTTTTATTTCAGTTCCGATCCTGAGAAGAGAGTAGCCTTGATGACTTTGTGGCTCTTTTCATTTCAATTTGTGACTGTGTGTGTCAAGGCTGATTTCCATAGTGCCACTGAAAAGAGAGCAGGATCAGCACCGGAGGAGGACAATTTTTTGAGAATCATCTGTGGAAAGTGAAGAGTTTGAGATCTAGAGTAAATCTGGTGCCTTGCAAGTAACTCTGAATGACAGACAGCATGAGAGCCCAAATTGGGTTGCTGAATTGAAGCAATCTTGGGATAATCCCGGTGAGATTTTCTGTGGAATGGGAGTGAGCCCCACTGAGTCCTGGGTTCAAACCCAATTCTTGCTCAGATGCCTGAACTGGGAGGGGAGGAGGAATGACCCAGCCGGGGGGGGGGGGGGGCGGCAGGCGAGGAAGAAGATCCAGAGCAGAGGTGAAATCCAGCAGGTTCTGACAGGTTCTGCAGAACAGGTAGTGGAAATTTTGAGTAGTTCGGAGAACCGGAAAATGCCACCTCTGGCTGGTCCCAGAGTGGGGTGGGAATGGAGATTTTGCAATATCCTTCTCTCAGGAGTGGGGAGGGAATGGGGATTTTGCAGTATCCTTCCCCTGCCACGCCCACCAAGCCACGCCCACAGTACTAGCAGTAAAAAAAAAATTGAATTTCACCACGGATCCAGAGGGGCCGTGTGTCTTCATTGCTGCTCCCTTCACTCCCATTTTGAATTCCCACATCTCCCAGGCAATCAGTTTGGGTTTCCCCCAAGGGTTCCATGGCTGCTGCCCCCCCACCCAATCCCTCTTTCCCTCCCTGTTTTATAAAATCTCTCTTCAAATCTTTACTTATTAACAAGTCACGTTGGCAATGAGGCAAGAAGCTGATTTTATGGTTTTCCGTATGAAGCTGGGTGACCAGGTGGGTTTTCCTGCTGCTTCTGGAGGCGGAAACTGCCCCCCTTTTCCCTATGGGTCACTAAAGCCTGCTTGGGGCCATCCATATAAGGCATTGCTGGAAGAGAGAAGGGCACAATTGGGGTAGGCAGGCAGGTAGGTTTTGGGGTTCCAGTTCTCCCTTGAATCCTGCTTTCTCTTCCTTTTCTCTCTCATCCCAAACTTCTCTGCCCTCAAACCCCTCCAGAAGCTGTTTTTTTTTTTTGCCTCTCCCTCCCTCCCTCTTTCCACCTTCTCCCTCCTCTTTCTCTTCCATCATCTCTTCCTTCTAATGTGGATAAAAGAAAGGAATCATACAGAGTCAGATATATGGGCTCTGGAGAACCCTCTCTATTCACATTGTTATAGGGGGAAGACGTGCTTGGATACATGAACTTTGAGAGAACCTCTCTATTCACATTATTATAAGATAGAAAAGTGCTTGTTGGAAATTACATTAACAAACAGTTAAACCCCATTAAGTGGTAATATATCTTCTGATGAGACCTAGATGTCATGAAAGGACAGCCATATGGAAAACCTCTGAGTGACCTCACTGTGAATGACACAAAGACCTATATGTTACAAAGAGTTACTTAATCCAATAAATTTACCCAAGGACAGCAGTAACTCTCCCATAAACAACTACAAGCACTTAAGAAAAGTTGTGTGGCTAAGATAATTTTATAAACTAAAATTAATGGTTTAAGTAATTAGATGAACATATTATCCACTGTATGTAACCATATAGGGAAAATTGGATGTATGATCTCATGTTAACCATATATGGAAAGTGTATGATCTCACTGAATCCTTTGTCTTAGAAATGTATAAAACCAGTTGTATCAGAGTTCTCTCCTTGTTCAAAGCTTCAGGTACAAAACTGGCTCTGAACCTTGCGCAACAAAACTGTCTCTGGCTGACCCAGGAATGTTGTTTGGTCTCATCATTCTACAACACTTCATTTCCCCCTTTCTCTTCTGCCCCCCTCTAGTCTCTTTTTCTTCCTTCCAGATCTGATAATGGGTCCTGCTCAGAGGTGGGTTTAAGCAGGTTCTGACAGATCCTGGAGAACCGGTAGTGGAAATTTTGAGTAGTTCGGAGAACTGGTAAATACCACCTCTTACTGGCCCTGCCCCCATCTATTTTCTGCCTCCCGAGTCCCAGCTGATCGGGAGGAAATGGAGATTTTGCAGTAACCTTTCCCTGCCATGCCCACCAAGCCACGCCCACAGAACTGGTAGTAAAAAAAATTTGAATTCCACCACTGGTCCTGCTGTGCCCCATAGCATCCAAGTCCCCTAGCAGAATCCACCTAACTCTACCCGACTGGGTCCTTTTTCAGGCTTCTCCTCACATTCCTTCAAGATTGTCTACTTCACCATCTTCGAGCCCAGTCAGAGGCTGAGCCACTTTTTCATTGTGGGCTATGTGGACGGTCAGATCTTTGCTCACTACGACAGCAACAGCAGGAAGATTCAGCCGCGAGTCTCCTGGATGGAGAAATCGGGGAAGGATATTCCCCAATACTGGCAGGCTCTGACTGACGTAGCACGTAACTTCAATGATCGGCACAGAGACCACCTGGAATTTATGAGGATTTACCACAATCAGAGACAAGGTGAGTGATGGGTCGGGTGGATCTCCCCGCCCCACGTTCCCTGCCAATAGCACGAGAGGAGAAGAAAGTGGCTTGCTCCCAGATTAAAAGGCTGTTTCGTTTTTAAAATGTTATTTTGAAAATATGTTTATTGCTTTAAAAATTATTTTACTCTTGCCCCATAACTGAAGTTTTTTGCCCCATAACTGAAGTTTTATGGATGTGATAAATATTAAAGGCAGATGGGCAATCAAAATGTGATAGATATAGAGATAGATAGATAGATAGATAGATAGATAGATAGATAGATAGATAGATAGATGATAGATAGATGGATGGATGGATGGATGGATGGATGGATGGATGAATGGATGGATGGATGGATGGATGAATAGGGATAGGGATAGGGATAGGGATAGGGATAGAGTGTTCTGTCCCCGTCTCACACACACATACAAACAGACAGCCGGGGGTTAAATAAACTGGCAGACAACCAATTCTTCCGATAAGACGCTTGGCAGCAACCCAGTAGCTGCTTGCCAAGAACTTTTACTCAATAAACAAAATACCCACAGTCAAGAATTGTCCAGTTCGTAAAATAAATCCAAGCCCGATAATGTTGTTTCCAAAGATGCAATGTGACTCGATAGTAGTTAGTTTTGTCCATCACAGAGTCTGAATGGCCACCTCACCCCCTTTTATATCCTGTGGGGTGTGGTCCAGTGACTCAGCCTAATCTCTGGCACGCCTTTTCTTCTGTTGCGCGCGCTTATCTCTGCGACGCTGCCAAGGATCCTGCCAAGACTCATTACCCTCATCACTGTCCACCTGTGGCTGCGTGGACGTGCTTGGCCCCGGCCCTATCTCTTGCCCTTCGGCGGACACCGAAGGCATTGCCAGAGAGGAGGGTCCTGGAGAGGGAGGCCTTGCCAACTCCTCTCCTTCACTCTCGGAGTCCTCTCCTGCCGATGACACAGGCTCAGGTAACGGAGCCACAACATAGAGATATATATATATATGGATGGATGGATGGATGGATGGATGGATGGGGATACACACACACACACACACACACACACACACACACACACACACACAGAGAGAGAGAGAGAGAGAGAGAGAGAGAGAGAGAGAGAGAGAGAGAGCGCTTTATGGGGGGAAATGAATTTCTTTCATTTTCCAGTTGTTATTTGTCCCTTTTCTTACTCGCTTCCTATTGAATCAAAGTCCCTATAAGAATGGAGATATCTGTCTCTCCTGAGGATTCCTCAAACAGTAATCCTGTCTCCCTTTCAGATGATATGCTACAGGGCATCGCAAGCTGTGAACTCCAGGGAAATGGGAGTGAAAGTGGGTTTTACATGGAGGCTTATAATGGGAAAGCCAGATTCTCCTTCCCCATGGTGGAGGTCATCATGGAAAACTGCATTGAGTTGCTAAAGAAGTGCCTGTCTTATGGGAACGAGACGCTGCTGACAATAGGTCAGTATCTGGATCCAGGTTGGACTTTCCTCCTTTATGCCAGATTTCTTGCACGCGTTCGGCCCCTTTGGGTCCCTGGTCTGCTGCCTGGGTCCCTGGGAAGGAATTCTTCCCCTCCCCCTCCAGGAAGTCTCCAAGACACAGAAAGCCATTCAATGGACCAGGAAATGTGGCCTCTGCCTGACGGGCAGGGGTGGGCTACTGGGGGTTCACAAGGGTTCGGGAGAACCTCTAGCTAAGATTCTGTGCAGTTCAGTGAACCCCCAGATATCACTCCTGGATGGCCCTGCCCACCCCACCCCGTCCCGCCCAGGAGTCCCCACGTGACCTGTTTTGGATGCAGGTAAGTGCGTGGTGTGTGCGGAGGCTCAGGGAGGGCGGAAAACAGGCCTATCTGAAGTTTGGGAAGTTCAGGGGCCTCTGGAGCCTGGGGAGGCTGTTTTCACTCCCTGCCGTAGTGCAGGAGGCCGACTAGGCCACGCCCACCATGGCCACGTCCACCCAGCAACCAGGCTGAGAACCCCTTGCTCAAATTTTTGAAGCCCACCCTTGCTGACGTGTGTCTGTGTGGATCAGGCAGCAAAATCACTTACTAGTATCCTGTTCACAGCCCACAATAAGGCAACAGGCCACTTGGGGATATTTGCTGTGGGACAACTCGCTACTGGATAGTTCCACGTGGGGTACCTCAATGTGATAAATGCTATCTGCCACTGTTTCTTGGACACTGTTTCCATTTTTGTCAAGCATTTGAGCATTTCCTAAAATGCTCTTGGAGACGCTGCAGTTAGAACGTGTTAAATCCCTGCCTTAAAACCAAGTAGTGGGAGATTTTTCTGCCTGTCGGCGTCTGGAGGGGTCAGAGTTAATTCTGGTGTTTCTGCAGAGACCCCGGTGGTGACAATGACCAGAAGGACAGAGGCTGAGGATGGACTGGAGATGCACGTCTGCCGGGTCCACGGCTTCTACCCCAGGGAGATCGATGCCTCCTGGAGGAGGGACGGAGAAGTCTGGATGCAGGACACCCTCCATGGGTCTGTGGCCCCCAATGCGGATGGGACTTACCACTATTGGCTCGGCATCCAGATCGATCCCAAAGAGAGGGACCGCTATCGGTGTCATGTGGAGCATGACGGCCTGCAGGAGCCTCTGGCCCTGGTCCTGAAGGGTGAGAGGCTGCAGGGAGGGAAAGGCTGGGCTCTTTGGAGGGTTGTGGGAGAGAAATCTGACCCCAGCTTTGTCCAGATGTGAAGTTGAGTTCTCATTGATTGGTGGACCTGCAGGCAACAGTCCATAGAATGGGATTTACAAATCCCGTCACAACAGTTGACCGATCCTCACGATATCCCCTTAGATACTCTCTTAGCCCCTGTCCCTGCAAATAACAAATTGCTGCTTTCATAAAGAACCGTACACATTATTTGATGATCAGGGATTTATTGAAAAAATGGTCAACAGGATGTCTTCATGCTACAGTTAGAGGGACATGAAGAGGAGCCCCTTAAGACTTTTTAAATTGAGGAATTTCCATCCCTTTGGCTGAATTAAGTCTCTCCTTTAACTGGGATGATTGTTTGGGCTTCTCCTTCGATTATCTGCTCTTTCTCCCAATTCAGTTCCAGAATCCAACCTGGGCCTCATCATCGGCTGCGTTGTGGCTGCTCTTGTCCTGGCGTGTGTGATTGTTGGGAGTTTGATATTCTTGAGTAAGTATCATTTTTTGGGGGGTGATTGAAGGAAGATGGAGAAATTCTCCTGAGTCTCTCTATTTGGGGAGCTTCTGGGCTTCACTCTCCCATGTTTTCCCAGCCTTTTGGGGGAGCATCTGAGATCTGGCCTCTTTGGGGGACTTCAGTCTTGACTAAGCTTTAAGTCTGCAAGGCAGTATCAAGTGGATGATTTGTGATCTTTACATGTTAGCTCCAATTCTAACCAATTCTGATCCAATTCTGGGATCAGAGGTAGCTTCTCGTGTGTGTGTGTGCAGCTCCTAAAGCTGCAGAGATGTGATATCTTTGTCTTCCTCCAAGAACTAAGCTGAGAAAGGTGGCCCCCTTTTACATTACATTCTAGGGAACGGAGACCTCCAAAGAGGAACATCTGAGACAAGGAATTTTCAAAACAGTGAGGTGACTCAGCTGTCTGGATGATCCTTCTGTCTGAGAAGCTGCTCTGCTTTCAAAGAATGAGGATGGGAAAGGCTTGGCCATAACACGGTCAGGTTGGGCCATAACACGGTCAGGAATCTCCGTAAAGGTAGTGATCAAAAGGAGGCATTTTGAGAGAAAAGGAGCCTTGGTGGATGCCAGCTGGATCTCCTCTTGGTCTCCCACCACAAAGCTCTCCAAGAATGAACTGATTGGAAAAAGAAACTTTGGAGCCATCTGTATCCTCACACTGGCTGTGCCCTCTGGCTGAAGAATTGTTGGACTATTGTTCTTTGTGGAGATAGATCAATGTTAAGAATTCTTTCCTATGCCTCTTAGGACATTGTTTGGTGCAAACTCTTTGGATGTGTTGGTGTGTTTTAGTTTGTATGTGAGGGAAGGAAGGAGGGATCTAGAGTCAGAAGGAGCTGAGCTTCTTCATCTCTTTCCATCCACCTAAGAAACTGTCAACTTGCAAAGCTTTCAAGTTGCCATGAGCAGGAGGGAGGGAGAACTGACAGAGCTGATTGATTTCCCTAACTGAAGCGGCATTCCATAGATGCTTTCTTACCACAATGAGTAGGAGGGTGTTGGATTTCACAGCCAGCCAAAATGGTTAATTGGAGAATGTGATTTATGACATGGCCAGGGAGGAGGGGAGAGACAGGGTCATAGGGGAACATAAATCTATGTGGGATTAATTCTAACTGCATCCGAATATTGCCGAAATGGTGCTCCTAATAAATGACTGTATTTCTTTTGAAGTTTGGCTCATGGCTCATGAATTAATTAGGGCATCTTTCGGAAACTTCACACTGACCACTCCATTTTCCTTTCTTTCTTTTCCAGGAAGTCACAGTTCTGGCCAGGGTATTGTACAGGGAGCCGCTTCTATATGAAGAAGTCCATTTTTGCATCTTATAGGAATGTGTCAGGTGTGCCTCCTTTCAGATTTCAGGAAAGAATGACGCCGACTCCATTTCCATAGATAAAGGTACTTTTACTGAAATTGAACTGAATGCAGCCAAGGAAAGCAAGATCTGAGGCAATAGGCACGAAAATCACATATAGAAAGCATCTCCTCCCAACTGTCCAGCGTAAATCATCCAATCCAAAGGTCCTCCAGAGGTCAGGTGGAATCACACGTCTGGCAGTGTCATCAATCTGGAATGTCAGCAGATAGCAGCTTCAAAGGCACAGGACTGCAGCTAAGATTCGGTTTCGTTTCTCCATACTCCTTCTCCAGCACGCTTCCCCATCTAGCAATTTCCTAATTCCCCCTCTCCCCCCCCCCATTACCATGGCATCCGACAAGCAAGCATTGAAAGCTCAGAGGCTGACAGAATGCTGAATTGTGGACAATCCCCCTCCCCAACTAGATCCGATTTGGAGACAAATACAGCTTCTAGCCAACCTTCTCTCCCCCCCCTCCTCGATCCTTCCCAAAAAGCTGTTCCTCCAATCCATGGTAGTTTTCAAGTCCTCCCTGCCATGCCTCCCCTCCACCCCCTGTCAGCGTCTGACTCTGAGATGGAAGACAAACAGCTGATGGAGAGCAGGAGAGTGGCTCTGTTGGTGGTGGGAACGCAGAGTAGAGTAACATGGGTTGCGTGACTTACAAGGAAGGAAAGGGCCCTGATTCCCTTCACAAGGCACACCTGGGGATGGAGTTTAAAGGAGAAGCAGTTGGGAGGGGCATGTTGGGAACAAACCAGTGGTGGGTTGCTACCAGTTCGCCCCGGATCAGGCGAATCAGTAGCGGCAGCGGCAGGAGGCTCCGACCACCCACCCGGACGTTTCTGTGCATGCACAGAAGTGTTGCATATGCACATGAGTGCATGCGCGTCCACAAGCAAACCGGTAGCAACCGAAATTGAAACCCACTACTGGAACAAATGCTGAATTCCTATAGTGTCGTGGACTGCATTCCTGGCATTCCTCTGGACTGTTTGAATTATTTCCGTCCTTCTGTGTGTTTATCTTGTCTTGCTGGAATTATTCTTCGCTTCTGGGACTCATTCTCTGGCCCCGCTGGAGTGATTGATTGCAGTCATTCTGCTTACAGCCTTTGGACTGGCGTATCTGCAGGTTTGTGGAAAAGCGTTTTTCCAGGCTGGAGAGTAAAAGGGACGTTGGGGGCAAAGTTGGTGCCAATAAAGGGACTCACATCGATTCTCTGTCTGTGTTGCCTTTATGCCACGTCCCGGGTCATCACACTCCCTTTGCTTTTCACTGCGTTGGGGACAGGAGCTGCTTTTGTCATGCAGGAAGTTAGCACCCACCCCTTTCCTAGAAGAATGAAATATTTTAGGAACTATTAAAAAGGCAGAATATTATGTTTCCCTGGATGAGAAATGGAGAAGCATGTTTTAAAGACTAAGCAGCTCCCATCTTTCTGTCCCCACCCTTTGTTAATGGGCCAGAGGCAGAAACTCAATCTTTGTCAATAGACCATCATCTGCAACATAATAGGACCCATCTAGCAACAGAAACTCACCACATGGCACCTGGGAAAATTACATCCGCCAGCAAGGCTAGCTAAGACCCCCACCCCCTGGGAGTCTGACAACCAATCAGGATACTCTTTCTAGGCCCCAGGAAGTTCAAAGCCAGAGAGGGCATAAAACCCGGGGACTCACTGTGTCTCGCCTTTTTCTGTTCAGGAACTCAAACCATGATCCTGTCCACCATTAAACCATCTTTCCAAGCAATTTCCGTGTTTCCAGTGTCTTTTCCCCCCACTTGGAGCTGAACTCAGAAGGATATTTCTTCTTACAGTCAGCTGAAAACAAATGCTTTCACAATAGCCACCCCAGTTTCTCTGAGCAACATGCAGCAAAGCTAAAAACAGGTAGTTGGTAAATGCTAAAACAATTCATATTGTAATTATCATTCAAACATTAAATATTTTTAGAAAGAAGATCTGGTAGGCAAAGATATCTTAATCATTCCACCTTAATAATTAAGTCGTCCCCTGGGATCCCCAGGCCTGATGACGCAAGACTTCCTGTGAATTTTCAGAGAGAGATCTGAAAGCTGACATGGCAGAAAAACTAACTGAGATGATAAAATCTCCAACCGGGAAGTGCGGATTAAAAACAAGGCACCCCTTTTACTTGTGCCAAATAAAATAAAAAAAAAGAGTCCCCAGATTCCCTGGTTTTAGGAAACTAAATTTATTATTTCCCAAACTAAGGATGTGTTTGGGCAGATTAACACAGGAACTCCAGCGTTCCAAATGCATTGAGAGTTTTGAAACAGTTGAAACGGCTTTTCCATCATTGTCCTCATACTCAGTTGAACAGTCCTCAAAGGTGCCACTTGAGATGAAGCCTTCTTTGGAGAGGTTTGTGTTCCCCCTCCCCGTCTCCCTCTCCTCCTCTCTTTCCCTCCTCTTCCCCCTCCCCCAGGGGTGAAATGCTCCCGGTTCAGACCGGATCGCCTGAACCGGTAGCAATGGCCGTGGGTGGTTCGGAGAACCGGTAGCAAAAATCCCTGCACACACACACACCCCCATGCCCAGCTGAGCCGCACAATCATCAGAGGCTTTTTTTTTACTTTTAAAAGCATTTTTTCTACAACCTCTTCAGAGGTTGAAGAAAAAATGCTTTTAAAAGCCTCTGATGATCCCAGCTGAGTTGCCTGATCGGCAGAGGCTTTTTTTCTTTTAAAAGCCTCTGACAATCCAAGCTGAGTTGCCTGATCGTCAGAGGCATTTAAAAGACAAAAAAGCCTCTGCCGATCAGGCAACTCAGCTGGGATCGTCAGAGCCTTTGAAAGCATTTTTTACAACCTCTTCGTTGAAGAGGTTGTAGAAAAAATGGTTTTAAAAGTTATTTTTTCAAAAATGGCCACACCCACCCAGTCACATTACCCCCCCAAGCCACGCCCACAGAACTGATAGTAACAAATTTTAGATTTCACCACTGCCCTCCCCCCTCTCCCTTCCTCCCTCTCTCCCTCTTGAATAACCCTGTCCTGTTATTGGAGAAAAGGAGGAAGCTTGCAAGCTGACTCAGACCTTCCGTCCTGGGTGGTGGAAGAGAGGGAAGAGGTTCAGCCAGGGCCAGGCTCATTCGTGGGACACTGTCCAGTGCAAGATGGAAGATCTGCCTCTGGGGGTCCCCAATATACCACACTTGAGCTGAGGTCATCAATTGGGGGCCGTCTTGGAGGAGCTTCCAGGCAAATTGGTTCGGGGGGGGGGAATTGTCCCCCTCAGATTGGGCTCGCAATTTGGGTATCCTCCTAGACTCACAGCTAAGATTAGAGCAACATCTGACAGCTGTGGCTAGGGGGACCTTTGCACAGGTTTGCCTGGTGCACCAATTGCGACCCTACTTGGATTGGGAGGCTCTCCTCACAGTCACTCATGCCCTTGTCACCTCACGGTTAGATTATTGCAACGCGCTCTACATGGGGCTAACCCTTGAAAAGGGTTCGGAGACTACAGTTGGTCCAGAATGCAGCCGCGCGAGCTATCGTGGGTGCGCCTAGATACACCCACATTACACCAATTCTCCGCGAGCTGCACTGGCTCCCTATTGGTCTCCAGGCACAATTCAAGGTGTTGGTTATTACCTTTAAAGCCCTACATGGCTCAGGGCCAGGTTGTCTTTGAGACCGCCTTCTACCGCATAGCTCCCAGTGACCGGTAAGATCCCACAGAGTTGGTCTCCTCCGGGTCCCATCAGGTAAACAATGTCGGCTGGCGGGCCCGGGTGGGGGGAAGGCCTTCTCTGTGGCTGCCCCAGCTCTCTGGAACCAGTTACCTCCTGTGGTCCGGACCACCCCCACCCTATTGGCCTTCCGAAAAGCGGTGAAGACCTAGCTATTCTGGCAGGCCTGGGGCCGTTGATCTCGCTGTTGTGATTGTGTGAGATCCGGCCATGAATGGTGTGAATGGGTTTTAATGTTTTAATTTTTAATTTTTAAATGTTTTTATAATGGTTTTTTTTAAAATGCATTGTAAGCCGCCCTGAGTCTTCGGAGAAAGGCGGCATATAAATTGAATTGATTAAATTAAATTAAATTAAATTACTTACCTTTTTTGTCCACCGGGAGGCTTCAACCACTGTCAACCCAACTGGCCTAGCTTAGAGGGTAGCTGGGAGAGGAATGGAAGGAGAAAATATTGCCTCTGTGGAGTTGGAACTTAACCAAGGGCTCTTAGCTTGCAGAAGGAAAGTCCTGGTTCTTACCAGAATCCAAAGCGTCTGAGAAGAGACCCTAATAAACATGATACTGAAGTCTTTCAGAAGGTAAACATGTTCAGCAGATGGCCTGGAAAATATGGACTATGTCTATGTGTTTCTGTGGCAATATATGTCTATCCAGTTGTTTGTGTGTGAATCTCTTGTTTGCACAAGATGCTGCACCTTAAACTAACCAGTCAGTTAAAACAGAGGAAGGTTACACCTGCTGTGAACCCAGAGAGACAAGAGAGGATCTGAAGGGGAGGCTCATCCTGCAGACGGCCAGTTTCCAGGGACTCAAAACCAATTGGAAGGTCCTCTAATGACCTCGGTCTTCTTCATCGGTAGAAATACAGAACCATGAAAAGGAGGCAGAAGGTCCTTCCTCTTCTCACTCTGTACATGCTCAATGGAAGGCTGATTGCAACAAGAGATGGTTCAAACCAGTGATGAAATCCACTTTTTTTTACTACCGGTTCTGTGGGCATGGCGTGGTGGGCGTGGTGTGTCTTGGTAGGCGTGGCAGGAGAAGGATACTGCAAAATCCCCATTCCCTCACCACTCCTGGGGGAAGGATACTGCAAAATCCCCATTTTTGTTGAGGATTACCTCTGATGCATCCATCCTTGTACTCCTTGACATTCGGTGGCTTTCGATACCATCAACCCAGTGGTGAAATCCAAATTTTTTTACTACCAGTTCTGTGGGCATGGCTTGGTGGGCGTGGTGTGGCTTGGTGGGCGTGGCAGGGGAAGGATATTGCAAAATCTCCATTCCCACCCCATTCTGGGGCCAGCCAGAGGTGGCATTTGCTGCTTCTCCGAACTACTCAAAATTTCCGCTACTGGTTCTCCAGAACCTGTCAGAACCTGCTGGATTTCACCCCTGCCTCAACCATAGAATCCTTATGGACCAGTGATGGGATTTGGGACTGGGCAGGGCAGTGTTGCACTGTGAAGGGAATGGAGCATAGGGGTTCCTCCAAGACGGTTCACAAGGAAGGAGGAAGGAGTCTCGCCCCACTAAATGAGCAACACTGAGGCTGCTTCAGTTAAAATAGACCAGTGGGCTCAAGCCCTCCTCCTGAGGACAGCCTCCATGAACTCCCACTCCATGTGCCTTGACTCTTGACCCTTGAACCTCAGGGCCCGGACTCTGAAACTGGACCACCTGATGAACCTTCCACAACCTCTGACTTCGCCGATCTACTCTTCTGCGTCCTGTTTTGACATGGAACTCTTGTAAGACAGTCTTGCTAAACTTTTGGGAGGGACTTGGCCTCCTGTTCCAAGTACAGGTAGTCCTCAACTTATAACAGTTCCCTTAGTGACTGTTCGAAGTTACAACGACACTTATGGCCGTTGCAGGATCCCCATGGCCAGTCACGTGGTTTACATTCGGATGCTTGAACAATTGATTCACATGTATGACGGTTGCAGTGTCCCGGCGTTATGTGATTCCCCTTTCGCAACCTTCCAACGAGCAAAGTCAACGGGGAAACCAGATTCACTTAACAACCGTGTTAGTAATTTAACAACTGCAGTGATTCACTTAATGAATGTGTGAAGAAAAATCGTAAAATGGGGCAAAACCAGCGGTGAAATGCTCCTGGTTCGGACCGGATCACTTGATCCGGTAGTGATGGCGGCGGGTGGTTCGGAGAATCGGTAGCAAAAATCCCTGCGCCCCCCCCCATGCTCAGCTGAGTCGCACGATCATCAGAGGCTTTTTATTTTTAAAAGTATTTTTTCTACAACCTCTTTCGACAAAAAAATGCTTTTAAAAGTAAAAAAAAAAGTCTCTGATGATTGCGCAGCTCATCTGGGATCCTCAGAGGCTTTTGAAAGCATTTTTTTCTGCAACCTCTTGGCCGAAGAGGTGGTAAAAACAAGGCTTTGAAAAGTCTCTGACGATCCCAGCTGAGTTGCCTGATCGGCAGAGAGGCTTTTCAAAACATTTTTTAAAAAGCCTCTCTGA